AAGGGAAGACAGTCCGAAAGAGTGACACCAAAAATTGAGTCTTAGAAGATGGGTGGGACTTGGTTGAATTTGGAGGAAAATTTTTGTGATCCCGGCAGAGAGAGGAGAATGTGCAGAAGTTCAAGAATAGAGACTATGGCTCACTCAGAAAACCAAGGAAGTTCGGATGGCAAGGGTTGGGGTCCAAAGTCCTGGAAGTCGTGAAGGAGCTGTTGGAAGGTAAGCAGAAAGGGCCCTGGCTTGGTGGCTTTGCCTGCCATGCTAATGTCCTGTCTTTCTTTTGTGGGAAATGAATGAATGGACATTAAAAGGAGTTATGCATAGGAATGACCAGATTTCCACTTTTTTTAAAAAAAGGCATTAAATTATAAAAACAGTATCTGTAGACAATTTCTCAAAAATGAATTAAGTGAGCCTATCACTTTAAGGAAAACAGCCAACAGTATTTGTTGGCAATTTCCAGTTTTCACTTAAAAATTAGAATTGTAGAAAACTTGTAGCTGCCACTATAAGATTCATAACTTTCCAATACTTCAGGAATTTTCTGATGACATCAGAGGGATATTATCAATGTGATTTAAAAAATATTTTGTTATGAAATGTGTCAACATTTGGAAGATCTTCATAACTCAGTGAATTAATATTTTCCAGATGACCTATGTTGGATGTTACAAAATCATGCTTGGGTAAAAAATCAATTCCAAGAGTAAGATTGGCCAAGTGGATTTTAATGTAACAAAGTACAAAAAGTTCATTGATATGGTTTCAGATCTGACACCACAACTAATCTTTAAGAAATTAAGTCAAAGAAAAATATTCACAGTTACCTGAAAAAGATATGAACATACCTGTTTTTCAACTACATATCTGTGTGAAGCTGAATTTTCTTCATGTACTTCATTCAACCCATGCAATAGAACACAACAGACTGAAAAAAGAATCATCAGCTATGAGAATCTGCCACTAGAGAGACTTATAAAAATATAAATGCCATTCTTCTCATTAAATATTTTCTCTTTTGAAAAGTACAGTTATTTTGCATGAAATGCTTTTTATAACATGGAGTACTATTTCAAATTAAAATTATTAAATAAGATGGGGTTTGGGGGTTTTATATCTGCAGTTTTCATTTCAAATACACTCAATATGGATAGATACGGCCCACGTAAGCAAGGGTTCTTTGAAAACCTTAATAATTTTTAAGAGTGTTAAGAGTCTTATATACAAATATCAAGTCCTTACATCGTATCCCTGAAACTAATTAATGTTCTATGTCAATTGCACCTCGATTGGAAAAAAAAAAAAAAAAAAGGCCTTTTGGCTGTGGGGCCTTTTGAGCCTTTTGAATCACGCTTTTGCTTGGGCCCGCTCCGAACCCTTTGGAGTGTCCTTTCTCTTTTAATCGTGGCCCTTGAGCCACTGCTTTCTGCTCTGGTCCACTTCTACGTCTTTGAAGTGTACTTTTTTTTCTAATAAACTGCTCTTTCACCACTTTAAAAGAAAAAAGGAACCTAATTTTTTAGGTCCTTATTTGGCTTGGGGGGGGGGGTGTAAAAGAGACTTGAGATCAAAAAGTTGAACTGCTGCACTAATTTACTGCTTCAATTGTTCTGAATTCTAAGCATTCCAACCTTTAACTGGAAGATAGCCAAGGAAAGAAATCCCTGGGGTTAATCATTAAAGGAGCTTCTCTTTGTGCGTGCCCTGGAGGTGTTTCCACCCTGGGGCAATGGTCTGTACTAGTAAGTGCTTTGGGGGGGGGGGTGGCGAGGGAGGTAGGGGGTGCCTTCTGTTCGCAGAGCAGGGAAACTCTTGTGAATGTAGGCAAACATCCCAGGCTGTTGGGGAAGGGGTGAATATGGAAGCTGAGGATCTGGAAACCTATCCCTCTAAAACTACCTATAGGTGTACCCCTGGGAAAGTCTATCCCCAAAGATACTGGTCTCCAGGCCTTATCTGGAAGAGGTGAGAAGGGGAAAACACAAGAGCTTTTTTTTTTGAGACTGGACATCCGGTCTCTATGGTTTTGTGAGCACCCTGAGTCAGGACCCCTTGAAGAAAACCTGTGATTCATTTGGATGCAGACAGGTCTCTCTGCAGCCCCAGGGACACAAAAGCCTATTTGCTAATTAACCTGTGACTCAGTCCCATTTCTGTGGTTGGTGATCCATCCCGCAGGGTCTGGCTCAGTGGTGAGGCTCGTAGGCTGTGTAGGCTGTGTGGCTGACCGTCTGAAAGACCTGGGGCTTTTCCTGTTATAGCTGGGCAAAAGCAAGCAGGGTTCTTAAGTTCTCCCAGCCTCCGTTTCACGGCTGCAAAGTGAGGCTAACAATAGCCTACTTTGCATTTTAAGCACCAGGCACACATTACTAGATTAATAACTGTCATTTCAGTGCTTACTCTGTGCCAGGAACTACAAGTCTTCATTGATAAGATTTTTAGTCCTCACAAAAAACCTGAAAAATAACTATGGTATATTTTCACTCCTAAGGAGGATTTTTGTCTACATTTAACACAACCAAAATTGAATTTTGTCTTGCATTGGATGTGCATGTGGTTTGTTTATTAACAAAAGTTAATAAATTGATGGTGCATCTTATAATAAAAAAAATACAGTATGAATGTCCCTGTTTTATGAATAGGAATGTGGGGAACAAGTTAAAAACATGAAGTAACTTGTCCAAGTCCACACATTTGGAGCATGGTGGGACAGAGAGGTAGAGGGACTGTCCATCTCCAAAGCCTGGAGTTGTCTCGGTGATTCATCGCGCCAGGCTGCTGCTTCCCCGCTCCCCAGTCCCCGGATTCCACCCCACAGGCAGGACTTACAGAAAAGGACCTAGTCCCACCCAGGCCTTGAGCACCAACTCTGCCCCTCTGGTCACCAAATGTATTTGCCAGAATTTCCAGAGAGACATCTTTTGCTCAGCGAATCCGACAAGTCCAAGGAAATTACTCGGATGCCTGCAGCTTAAGTTTGGGCCTCAAGGAACTGAAAACGAATGGCTTTGCCCCCTCCCCCTAGTGACACTGCCCTCTACAGCTAAGATGCTGAACAACAGCTCAACCTGGAGCTG